TTCTTTGCATTGCCTGAACCGCAGCTAATTTTTTCCTAACGCCTTGAAAATTGTATCAAACCATTGAGTAATCCTTTCCTTCCATAATGTTTCTCTTGAAAATTCTGTCTTTCTGATCCGCCTCTCCCATCCTGGGGACTGGACCCAGGGCCTCATGCATACTGGGCAAGTGCTGACCCCTGAGCTGTATCCCTAGCTGTGATCTGATTTTGCTTTGCTGCTCTGCTTTCAGCTCTTGTCTTGAGGCTCCTCAAACATTCATCAGCTAGGTTTACTCAAACGGTAGATGTTTTCGTAGATGTTCTATACCAAGTTGAAGAAGCTCTCCTTTATTCCTAGTTTTCTGAGAGTTTTTTTTATCACAATTGAGCTTTAGATTTTGTCAAATGGCCTTTCTACAGCTATCAATCTAATCTAATTTTGCAAAAATTATATATTAATGTGGTAGATTATAGTAGTTGATTTTTAAATGGTTGAACTAGCTTTGCATACTTGGAATAAATCCCATGAGGTGGTATGCAGTCATTTTTTATATAGTGCATTAGACTTGCTGTGGAATCAGTAATAATGGCCCTTTCATTTTTGCTATTACTAATTTATATCTTCTCCTTTTTACTTTTGGTTAACCTCGCTGAAGTTTATTAGTTTTTATTGATTTTTTCCAAAAAACCAAATTTGAAGTTTCTTGATGTGTATTTTCTCTATTAATTTTGTTTCCAGTTTCTTTGACTTCTGCTGTAATTTTTGCTATTGCCTTTATTCTCCATACATGATTTAAATTTACTCTTTTCCTTGTTTCCTAAAAATGAAAACTTAGATTATTTATTTCAGATCATTAAATGCATGTCTAACATATGCATTCAATGCTGTAAATTTCCCCCAAGTACTGCGCTTTTGCTGCATACTATACAAATTTTGGGGGCCGGGGATGTAGCTCAGTGGCATAAGCGCTTGCCTGGCAAGCCTGAGGTCATGAGTTTGATTCCTGATACCCAAAAAAAAAAAGAAAAGATTTTTTTTGATATATTTTTATTTTCGTTTGGTTCAAAATATTCTTTAATTTCTCTTGAGAGCTCTTGAGTTATTTAATCTCTAAATATTTTGGGGCTTTCCGGCTATGTCTGTGTTACTGATTTCTAGTTTTAATTTCTCTGTGGTCTGAGGACAACCTTTCAGATTTGTTAAGGATCTGTTTCATGGCCTAGGATGTGGTCTTTCTTGGTGAGTGTTGGTGTGACTTGAGAAAAATGTGTGTCCTGGCCGGGCTCGGTGGCTCATGCCTATAGCTCAAGTGTGGAGGCTAAGACAGGAGGCTCACACGTTTGAGGCCAGTCTGGGCTACAGTCAGACCCTGTCCCTAAATAAAGGAGTAATGAGAGGAATGTATGTTCTGCTGCTGCTGAATGGAGAATTCAGTAGTATCAATTAAATCCTATTGGTGGACGGTGCCGTCAATTCAGCTCTACTCTTACAATTTTCTGCCTGCTGGATATGTCAGTTACTCATATAGCGGTATTCAAATCTCCTACTATATGGTGAATTTGTTTGTCTCTTCTCAGAGTTTCCTCCTTTTCCCCATGTATTTGGATGCTCTGTTGTTAAGCACATACACATGAAGGTACTGTTCTCGCAGCAAATTGAACTCAGTGGTTGCTGGGTTTTGTTTTTGCAGTACTAGACTAAGAAAGATAAAAGGTTTTTTTCTATTTGGTTGGTTGGGTTTGTTTTTTTTTTAAGAGATGCATCTGGATATGTTGCCCAGACTGGCCTTGAACTCCTGGGCTCAAGTGATCTTCTTGCCTCGTCTGCCCAGGTAACTGGGATTACAGGCACATGTGTGCCCCCATGCCCCCGAAATGTGTAATATTTTATTTTACTTTCATGTAGTCTTTCCCTAATGCTCCTTTGCTTTTCAGGTAGATCCAAGGTTTTTTTCCTCCCATCTTGCCATTTTTATCTAGCATTCCCTGCAGGCTCCTCTGCTTTCAGGCTTGCTCTGAAGCTGCCCTGCAGGTCCATGGCCACCCATATGAGTTGTATGAGCAGACGATTATCACAGAGCAGGACTGAGTGCTGCGGGATCGTCTGATGAGAATCAGTTGACGGGGCCAAAAGGGAAAGCAAAGACCCAGCTACACAGTAGCATTGGTTGGTAAAAACCTACCTTGCGTGCAGCCTGGGGGTGACCCACTCCAGCGAGGTGTTCACGCTGGCCTGAGGGGGAGATCCACGGGGGAAGCTGAAGTCCACAGTGCTCCGTGACAGTGACAGTGTCTCCCCTGGCCCCTCACCCTCACCCGGTCTGCCCTCTGTCCCAGAAGGACTCAGTGATGCCTTATCCCCAGATGGGCTTACCCCCGGTGGGCTCCTTCACACCTGCAGGAAGTGAGGGCTGGGACCCGGCACCTCACAGGTGCAGCTGGGTCAGCCGAGCGTGTGCACTCAGATGGCTGAACGGTGAGCGAGCTCTCAGAGCCGGGCGCCAGCAGACCCCGCACCCCCCTGAGGACAGTGCCAGTGGGAAGGTGTGCAGCGCTCCTAGGAAACGGAGCTTCTGTGAGAGGAAAGTGTCCGCTCCCAGCTGAGGACACCTGCCTCGTCATCTGCACGGTACCTGTCAGTCCCCAGTCTGTGCACATTTCTTGCTGGGTTATTTTCTGGGTGTTTGGCTCTGTTGATTTTTCTTTCCCTCACACTGCTCGCATGTCTTAATCCCCCCTCGCCTGTGGCTGGGCACCTTATGTTCACGGGGGGAGTCGATACGGCAGGCACCCTGGTGACACCTGTCTCTGGGCAGGAGTGGCAGAGTGCTGCCCTCCAAGCAGGTTTCCGCCTCTAGATAGAAGAAGATAAAACTTCGAGCCCCAATTTCTTCTCATTAGCAAAGCAAAGGGGCGAGGGTGAATTGCGAGAGATTTCTGTATGCAAGACGGGCACAGAGAAGGCTTTCACAGCAGCTGGCAGGCAGGCCAGGGAGGCTGGGCTCACCTGGCAAAAACTGGTGTTTTCTGTCTTTCAGATGTTCGTTTAGGTGAACGTTCTCAGCGGTAACTGATTAATAATGTACTTCCCAGCCATCCCTTAAAATTCATTTAACTTTGCCCTAAATGATTTCCAATGGCTTGTAGACCCCATATTTCCTCAACTCTTGCCTTATTCTCTAAGTCAGAGGAAATTACTTAATTCCATATAAATGTAGATGCTGTTAACACCCACAAATATCCAGGGTAAAAAGGAACTTTTATTAGTAGAGCTTACTTTTATTAATTTATTTAGCAGTTGTTTCCCAAGCGCTGCTCAGAACCAGCTTGGTGCTGGGTGTGCAGGCGGGGGTGGGACGTAGTGCTGTTCAGGGACACAGCTGCTCGTTTCTGCCCCTTGAGCCTCCTTCTGCGTGCGCCTATTATGAATTAGCCGACAGCCCTTTCTGGATGCATTATAAGACTTTATTGACTTTATGTTTTATCTCTTTGACCCTCACTTTTGATTAGATTTGTAAGGACAATGTCATTATCTGAGGCAGCCCTTTCAAAATCAAGACCTATTATTCTAAATTTCAAGCCGTCATTCAAGTCTGCATTGCATGAATGCATTTTAATAAACCAAGCTTTGTAGTTCTTATAATTCTGTTTTACCCTCTACAGATAAATTTTTTCTTAGTGTTTATTCTAGTAGGGAATAAACCTCTTGTTTCAAGAATGGGAATATAGCTAGATGTAGTGACACATGCCTATAATCCCAGGACTCTGGGCGACTAAGGCGGTGGGATCAAAGATTTGAGTGCCAGCTGGGGAGCTTAGAGAAACACTGTCTCAAAATATTTAAAAAGGGCTTGGGGATAGGTACTCAGTGCAAAGGCCATGGGTTCAGTCCCTAGTACCAAAAGGAGTAGGGAGCTGAGGATATATCTCAGTGGTAGAGAGTTTACATAGTATGCACAAGTCTCTGGATTCAATCCTCAGGACCACCAGAAAGAAAGAGAGCGAGACAGGGAGAGAAAGAAAGACACTGAACAGCCAAGAAAGATAGGTGCAGGTCCATGATGTCTGCTTTGCTTACTTAAGGTCCAAAGTGCCCCACTGATCTTTAAGGGATGAAAAAGTTTTAAAACTTTGGAAGTAATTTATCTCCCCATACTAAGACAGTGTACTTCTTAGCAGTCTGAGGCATTCTGAATGTGAGCATGGAAACCCGCATATACTATTATCAGAGATCTCATTAATGACTTTATTTTTTACTGTACTAGAGATCAAACCCATGGGTAGTCTACCACAGAGCTATATCCCTGCCCCTTTTTATGTTTTATTTTTGAGGCAAGGTCTCACTGAGTGGCCCAGGCTGGCCTCAAACTTGCCATCCTCCCACCTTAGCTTCCCAAGTTGCTGAGTTTATAGGCATGCACCACTACACTCAGTTTAAATTTTCAAATAAATGCTTACCTGTGGGACTGCATTATAGCAAATAATTGGTATATACTCCAAAATTTATCACAGATATAAAAAGTAAAGAATAGGATACATGCAACTTTTTAATATTTTGATTCTCAATCTCTTAAATTTGTCAGGTATTTTATGTCCTTTTAAAAGAAAACCAAAATCTTGGTTTTTGTTTTTCTAAATTTCCATCATTCTTCCCTCAATAAAATTCATTACCTTAAAAAAAATCTGAACTGGGAATGGTGGTCCATGCCTGTAATCTCTAGCATTTGGAAGGTTGAGGCAGGAGAATTTCCAATCTGAGGCCAGCTGGGCTACACAGCAAAGCCTTGTCTCAGAAAACAACAAAGTCAAAGAAATCCTGGCTAGCTGGTGATGGTGTAGACACATTTTAAAACTTAGTTTTCATTGTCAGGATTTCATGTATGCAATAAATGGAAATTACAAAAAGCTGAGGAACATTCAGGTAAACTCACAAGTGAGGGAACATTCTAAAGGCCCTGGTGTCGTCTGAGCTCTCAGGCAGAACTCCTGAGCGTCTGCCTCTCCTCTCCTCGGCCCTAGGCACTGTGGTCGATGTGGATGAGAGCACTGCTTTCTCCTGGCCTGTGTGTGACCAGTGCGGCAGCGGGCGACTGGAACAAAGGCTGGAAGACAGGTAAGGCTGGCCTGAAGCCCCAGGGCTCTGACCGGCAGAGCAGCAGCCCAGCCCCGGGGCCCCACAGCGCTGCTGTCTCTGGCGGCTTCCCCAGGAGCCAGCCCCAGCTGGACTGCAGGGAGAAGCCATGGGGCCGGCGGGTTTCCTCACAGGGAGTTCTGCTGTTCTTGCCGCTCCCCCTGGGTTTTTGCCCTCGGCTTCTTTATGATCAGGGAGAGAAAGAAAAGGAGGCCGTGTGAACGACTGAGGCACACGCGTGCCTGCACAGTGTTCCCTTGGCAGTGGGCAGACTTTTCTAGAGATCAGGGGGCAGCCCCTGGCCAGCTGTCTCTTCCCTGCCCAGCTTTTCTGCCAGCGCCTCCTCCCCCAGGTCACAGTAGGGGCCGCATGTCCGTGCAGTCTGTTCCTTTGGAATTAGCTCCCTGCCCTCCCGAATGGACTTTGTCTTGTGACAGAAGGAAAGAGCATGCTCTTTGTTTGCCTGCTTCTTTTTAATTTCTTCCCTCTTTTTCAGTACTGGGAGTTGAACCAGGGCCTTTACACTGAGCTACATCTCTAGGCCCACCCCCTTTTATTTTTTATCTTGAGGCAAGATCTTGCTAAATCACTAAGTTGCCCATGTGAGTCACAAACTTGTGATCCTCCTGCCTCAGCCTGCCTCAGCCCCAGCCTGCCTCAGCCGGGGTTACAGGTGTGTACCAGCATATCCAGCTAACTTACTTGGAAATAAGCATCCAATGTCCTCTTGATGCCTTTGTGGTAGTGCCCTACGCGTACGCAAGGCATCATTGACTTGTGTGGAGAGACCAGGGTGTGTGGGTCCAGTGGGGAGCAGCATGGGAGCAAAGAGCTGGTGGCTAAGCACGGCTCCAGACCCCCAGAGGGCCTTGCTTCACTTCCTGGGAGGCTTGCTCCACCTGACATGTTAATGGCACATACCTCTGACTGCCCGGGGCCCCCGTACAGCCTCCCGTCTCTGCTGCCTAAGCCGGCATTCATCCTTCATACAAGCCCAGTTCCTGGCTGAGCTCTGGAATTTGGTTCTGAGCAGAACCCTCCTTTCTCAGTGTGCAAACACGCGTGCTTAGAGAGGTATCTGCTGCAGCAGATCTCCTCTGAGGCCTGTTCCCTGTTGCTTCTCTTCCCGTGCGTCTCCACACACCAGAGGCGCCTTTTCCTGTGGGGACTGCTCCCGAGTGGTCACGTCTCCTGTTCTGAAGAGGCACCTGCAGGTCTTTCTGGACTGCCCCGCAAGGCCCCAGTGCAGCGTGAAGGTCAAGGTAGGAGGCAGGGCACATGCGTGGTCTTCCCGGTGTGGGACTCGCGGGTGGACCAGCACTCCTAGGAGCACCTGTGGGAAGCGGGGGAGGGCGCTGTGTGAACACACTATCCGTTTATTTAAGACTCAGACTGAAGCTCTGACGAAGAGATAGGAACTTTAGGTTTCACTTGTTAACTTTCTGGACGGGAGCTGTTTTAGCGGGAGCACTTACTGCACTGGTGTGGTTGACCCAGCCCCATTTCCCTGTTATTGCAGCTGTTGCAGAGCAGTATTTCTTCACTGCTGAGGTTTGCCGCCTGCGAGGATGGGGTAAGTCGGGCGGGGGGGCAGCCAGGTGTGCATTCCCCTGCCGACCCCGAAGAAGCCCCTCTGCCGTGTATGTTCGGTTACAGCAAATCCCACCGTAAGGTGCTGTGGCGCTCACAGTGAAACATGGATACAGATGGCCACCTGGCTTCGCGAGAGCCTTTCCTCTCTACAGACCTGGGGGTGGACACGGGGATGTTTCTGTGGCTTTGGTTATGGTAGCGCAGCCTGGAGACCAGAGCCCCCTGCCAGGGCTTCACAGTCATGGAACAGCGTCGCCTGGATACATTTCGGTGTTTCGTTCCTGGGTCTTCCCGACCCTGTGTGATTGCACACGTTGCTGCGATTCCTCACAACTTACTTGCCTGTCTCAAGAGTTACTGCAGTAAAGCTTGGTAAAGCTCGTGTGCTCTGACGGTCTGAGAAGACAGTCACCGAAGTATTTAATTTATGGGCCAAAGGCAGTTTCGGCATTGTAAATTTCTTTATAATGGGACCTCTGTCCTTAAGATGCCACCTATCTTGTCAGAGCCATTTAAAGGCATTATGGATGGCTCGAATTACTACATTCCTAAACCCAGAGAAGGGCCCAGGAAGCAGGCACTGGGCTGCGAGGTAGCAGGGCAGGAGCCCAGGTTGAGAGGCATCTGACACAGGGTCCACATCCCAGGAGCTGACGGGCCAGCCTCCCGGGACGGGGGACAGGTAAGGCTGATCATCCCTCGAACAACTCAGGCCCGTAAACAGAAGCCTTTTTCTAATGGTCCTCATGGCCACGTTCAAGCTCTCATTCCACCCAGAAGGTGTGGTGACTCGATCCGTTCTGTGGGGCTCCTCCCCAAGGCCCTGCCTGCTCCCTCCAGCCCTGGCCAGCCCCTGTCCCAGCCCTGCATTCAGTGGGGCGGCAGCCCTGCCTCACAGAACAGCAGTTGACCCTCTTTCATGGAGGCCAAGGCTGTCGGAGTTTGGATTAAATTGGAATGCGGATAAAATCACGGGCAGAATCTTTGAGGATTACTGGCCTACGCTGTTCTCGGCCCTGGCTTCACAGCAGCATCACTTGCAGAGCTCTGAAGAGAGTTTCTGTCCCTGTAAGATGAAGCCCACCAGCTCTAAAGCTGCTTGGTGACCTGTGCTCCAGCTTGGAGCCTTCCTCTGAGCTGCCTGCTGCCACTGCACAAGTAGGGACTGATGCACAGACCAGGCTGCCGGAGGGTGCAAACGCAAGTGTTTCCTGATTGTGCAAAAGGCAGCAGTCACCGTAAGCTAAGCACCAAGCTCACCACTTTCTCATGTGTGTCCCTGTTCAGCTTCCCACCGTCCTGGTGGGGCAAGATCCACCTTCTGCAGTTAGGGAGCGCAAGGCTCACCACGGGCAGCTCACAGAGGCAGAGTTGTCAGCCCCACAGACGTGAGCCGCTGGCAGAGTTGGCCAGCCCAGATGGGACTTGTGACGGGGACTTAGGGAAGCTTCCATGTTGAGTAGGTGATGAGACAGCCATGCCTTTCAGCTGATTTCTTGTCTACTGCCTTTTGGCCACCCAAGGTTGATAAGTTGGAGGTTTCTAAGGTGGGTGACAGGAGTTGGGCAGACACTACAGATGGGTAGATGAGGGATTTCAAGAAATAAATCTCTCGAGAATGGTGAGGAAAAGCACTAGAAACACTCCTGCTTGAGAACTCACAACAAACTCAAACCCAACACCTAAACTGGGCATAGTGGCACACGCCTGCAATACCAGCACTCAGGAGGCTGAGGCAGGAGGATTGCTGTAAGGAGGATTGCTTGAGGCCAGCCTGGGCTATATAGTGAGTCCAAGGCCAGTCTGCACTACATAGGGAGACCCTGTCTCAGAAAAACCAAAAAAATAAAATAAACCCCACACCTAGAAACTAAAACCAAGGACCCCTTGGTGTGGCACATAGCTCACCCACTGATCCAGCTGCACAGTCTCTGGATGAAAGCTGGGCATTGCAGGCTGGTGACCATCTGGGTGCCTTCAGGCTCCCAGGAAGGCAGCCTGGTACTTCCTCCAGGAAGCCTCCAGTGATGGGCAGTGCTATGCATTGCCTGCTGATCCCAGGGCTCATTTACAAACCTGGAGACCAGAAAACCCTAGCAGAGATCCTCCCACCTGCCCTTTGCTTCCTACTGGCTGAGATGCCTTGTTCCTCTCACACATTTAACTGTGCAACTAGGTAAAGCTCTGCTTATAAAGAGCACAAGAGGAGGTGTATGTATCATGTGAATGTGAGTGTGCATGTGCTGGTGTGCATGCTCACACGTGTATGTGTGCATACATGTACGTGTTGTGTGAAGGGGCATAGTGTCACAACCCCAGGCGTCATCTTTGCAAGTGCTCTGGTCTCAGAGCCCACCCTAATGGATCGAGGGCACGTTCCAAACCTAGAGGTGCGTGTCTTAGGAAGCACCTTACCCCCGCCAGCTGTACCTGCCGTGGCTGATTACGCCTGTGTGTCTGACTGGAAAAGGAGCTGAGAGAAGCTTGTGCGTAGACATACAGAGCAGTTTTCTGGTCTGGATTATGTGAGAGTGCACATCTACCAAAATCCAAAAGAATCAAATTAGGGCTTTCCACAAGAAGCGTTCCCTGGAGCAAACATACTGTTTCCAGTTAGGATACACGAGCATCGAGTTTTATGCCTTTGCTGTTCCATGGTTAAGCAGCCGATGTGAAAATAAGAGGAATGGCCATCATTCATGTCGTTTCTCAGTGGTAACATTGTAGTGATACGGAATTTAGAATTTGTTCCTTTACCTTTCAGGAAAAAAAAATTAAGGGGCTATATGTACTGTGGCTTTTAACGATCGAGACACATATCATATATATCCTCATACATGTTCATATGAATAGTGCATGTGAATTTAGTGGCACAGTTTTTGTAACCTCATCTTAATTTTCCCTAAATATAAAAGATGTATAATTTAAACTCCATTTGTAGGAGATGGAGCCAAACCTATCACTGTAAGTAGATTTTTCCCCTCAATACTGAGAATTGAAACTAGAATCTTTTCACTGGGTTATATCTCTAGCCAGTTTATTTTTAAACCTTGACACAGGGTCTCACGAAGTTGCCCAGGATGACTTTGAACTTGCAGTCCTCCAGCCTCAGCCTCCTGCCTCAGCCTCCCATAAGAATGTGCCACCACACCTGGCTCGGAAAAGAAATATTTTTAATACTGTTTTTGAAGTCAGAGTTCTGTAGTTTTAACTCAGAGTATCCTAGGAATGCCTGGGCCAAATCTTCATACTCACAACATACAAGGCTAGCTAAAAGAGTAAGAGACACCAAAGACTCACCCAGCTTTCCTATTTCCTCCCAGCAGCGAATGGTCACCCCTCGTTCTACAGAATGGTACCCTCCCTCCAGACCTGCAGCCTCAAGGCTGTCCTGGTCGCTGCCCCCTCTTCAGTGCCAGGCAGTGGGCTCACGGTAAACCCATAGTGCCCAGATGAGTGAGCGGCCATGGACTTCCGTGCTGGCCACATGCGAGCGTGCAGGAAGGCCCTCCCCGCACTGTCCACTTCCTTCTCTTCCCGCCGTGGCCGGCAGCTCTCACTCTGAACTCTCCACTCTGAACTCTCCACTAAGCTATACTTTTGAGACTTACTTTTTTAACCAAAGAAGCCAGAAATCCTTACAGATCGCAGTAAGTAGGCTAGGTGTGTCACACCCTGCCCGTATAACAGGTGGGACAGTGAAACAGTGTAACAGGTGAGAAAGTGAGCTGGCGTCAGAGTCACGTTCATATCCCAGACTGATCCCGGATGGTTATTGCTACAGAACAAATCATCTCAAGACTTAGTGGCTTCAACATGTATTCTGCACGTGGACCTGCAGTTCCGGCAGGACAGCCCATCTCTCCTCCACTGGACGTGAGTCGGTGCTCCGAGGGCGGGCTGGGCTCACCAAAGCTCCATTCCGTGTCTGGCCGGGGCTCTGACTGGACTCCCTCATAGCCCCCGTCTGAGTGCTGAGAGCCACAGAGAACCCTGGCGTCTCTCCTAACCAAGCTTGGGACAGTATTTGAGCCTGTTCTCCTGTACCTCGTTCTGCAACATAATCACTGTGACCAGCCCAGAAGCAGGGCGAGGGCAGTGAGACCCCCTTTGATGAGAAGGGCACAAAGAGTCAGACTGTTCTGGCCACATCATCTGGCTTCTCCAGCTTCCGTGTCCTTGGGCGTGACACATCAGTGACAGAGGGATGAGCACTAATACACACTATGCAGAACGCTGTGGAGGTTCACGTAGCATCTGCGCGCCTTCTTCGGCTTCAGTCTCCCAGGAGGCCGGAGCTGTCATTTATCCCCAGCTCCGAGTGCTGCTTTCAGCCCCCACCCTCCAGCGCACCTGCTCGACAGTGCAGTGTGCAGAGGCCACACCGGAGCACAGCCTTGACAGGGACAGCCACAGCCACGAAGTACCTGTGTTCCCATCTGGAGATGAAACTTGCCCGAGACTAAGAAGACGCTTAGTCTCATTACTACAGCACAGCAAGAGGCATTCAGCCCAGTCTAACCCGAGAACAAATGGGATCCTACTGAAGAGGGAAGTGTGGGGCGAACTACCAGGAAATCCTTTGACCGGAAGTATTGCTAGATTGGAGAAGTGTCCGAAAGGAAGTGGGAGACAGCTGTGAGCCACACACCCGGCCCCAGCCTGCCCAGCTGGGAGAGAGGCAGATCCTTCGCACGTCTGTGCCCCAGTTCCTTCCCTAGGTCAGCTCATCAGCTCATCACTGAAGCACTGATACTTTACATGATACATAAAAACAAGAATGTTGTTATCCGAATGTAGGATTTCCTTCATTTGCCCTAGTAAAGGGGGCTTTTATAGGCAGCACGTTACCGCCCCCCCCCAAAAAAAAACCCTCACCATCTGAGCAGGGAAGGTCAGAGTCCAGGGGAAGGGCCTCTGCTCAGGCCTGTCCCGTTCTGCTGCAGGGAACAGAATGTCCAGGGCTCACTTTATTTGCTTTAACCAGCATGCCTTTATCGCTGCAGAGCTATGAAGTGAAGAGTGTCCTCGGAAAGGAGGTGGGGCTGTTAAGCTGTTTTGTCCAGTCCATCACCACCCACCCAGCCAGCTGCGTTGGATTGGAGGAAATCGAGCTTCTGAGCGCAGGAGCAGCTCCGGAGAAGCGCCCGCCCTGGCCGGTGGATCTGTGAACTTTGCGAGGGCGAGGGTGGGGGCTGTTGAGGTAGTTATTTGTTAACTATGGACAGAGCAAATAGATTTTACGATCTTAAAATAAAAGTTTGAACTTTCCTAGGGCAAATTTAGGATGGTTTTGTAAATTCTAAATTAAAACATCTTTTTTATTTTTTCATCACCTTTCTATAAAATTCATATGAAGGAACATGTTTTGAAAGGTCAACTCAGCCTGGGATCTTTCTTTTGTATTTATCTTGGGCTGTAATATCAATCTATCTGAAAGAATTATGTTGTACAGTTGTAGCTTCAAAGTATCCAATTTTTTTTACCATGATTTATCTTTTCCTTACAGTATTTGTTTTAACCCCTCACCCCAAGTATACCCTGCAGAACTTAAAATCTTATGTCCCATATTGTGGTGTGCTACAATAAACAAATGTCTACATCAAGCATTATGCATTTCAGTATTTTTGGGAAAATGTTGTGGAGAACTATGTCAGAGGTAAAACTGTTGCCCGTAAAGTGTACAATATTTAACCAGCGTGATGAGAGCTGTAATGAACAGATACAAGCAGCTCCGTTCTGCCACACGCCTGTGGGATGGTTCCAGAGAGTGCACACGGAACAAAGATTACACCGACTTTTAGCAGTCAGTTACCATTTGCTTTGCTGGCACAGATTTAAGCTACCAATCAGTGTGAGCACCGAATATTTTGTTTCCTTGTAGCAACATCGTGAGAGCCGTGGTTAATCAATTGCATGATACACGCTTAGAGAAAAGGTGCCCGTCACCCAGTTTTCTTAAGGAAAAGCAGATGGCTTTGGGTGAGGCGTAGAAACACTTCTGCTGGCAGGACAGCCGGTGCGCAGTGGCTCTGGGGCTGCCCCTGCACCTCTTGCAGGACACTTGGAAGATCTACTCCATCTTGTCCGGGAGGCAGGAAAGTGAAAGCAGAGTCCCAGGAGAGCCCGACCCAGTGAAGACAAGGTTCTGGGCCACTCGAGCCGCGCTGTGCGGTCCCCCCCGCCCCCTCCCCCACCCCGGCAGCGGCTGTCTAAGGTTAGGGCGCTCCCGGGGTGTTCTCAGCAGGGTCCCCAAGTCCACCGCTGCCCCGCCGCATCTGCATGCTCTGCGGGGGCACCTTCGGCCTAAAGCTGCTCGAGTAACTAAGAGTGCCCAGTCGGGCTTCACCGACCTTCCCAAGCCACGCAGCACACGTGGAGGTGGCCCTAATGCTTCAAGAGCAAGCGGCCTCGGCGTCCGGACGGCTCCCTCGCGGGCGCACACCTGTCCGCTCGCCGCCGCCGCCGCCGCCGGGTCCCGGGACGCGCGCTTCCCAGGCGGGTGTGCGGCGCTCGCTGCGAACACAGGAAGCAGGCGCGAGTTTAAATGCTTTATTCTTACAAATACTGTAAAAATTAATATAAAAAAGAGCATGCTCAGTCTTTTAAAAACCTTTTATCTGCAATACAAAGAGTTTGTCTGGAAGGTCTTTTTCTTTTTTACAAATGTACCTTAGCTGCATCGACAGGAGTAAAATGTAGAAAAAGCTACCATTATAAAAATAATTTAAGGGAAAATAAACACGTATAGCTTCTCTCGCGGTCCAGAGGCAGCAAGTCCAGGCTGGAGCTTCCTTTCGCTCCCTCGTCCCAAAGAAACTGCAGCCGGCGCGGCTGCCCGCGCCCCGGGCCGTCGGGCTGAGGTATCGGTCGTTGGTGAGTCTCTCCGCCCGGCCGCGCGTTACCGGCAGTCGGCGGCGCCGGCGGGCGGCAGGAAGGGCGGGCTGGGCAGCTGTTTGAAGAACTGCCGCAGGCCGGCCAGGTCCCTGGTGAGCTGCTCCACGCGCTGGTGCAGCTTCTCGTTCTCGGCCGACAGCTCCACCAGCTTCTGCTGCATCTCCTGGTTGCGCCGCTTGGCCTTGTCGCGGCTCTTGCGCACGGCGATGTTGTTGCGCTCGCGCCGCTGCCGGTACTCGGGGCTGCCGCGGTCCGGGCCCCTCTTGCCGGAGCCCTTCTCTCGCGCGGGGCCGGGCGCCGGGCTCGGCCCCG